GTCTATTATCCTCACTACAAAGTACTCTTAAAGGTTCATGCATGTCGTAATTGGACCTACAATGATTTAAAAGTAGTGAAATATAGTTTCTTGTGCATTTATTTGGCACATTAAAATGCAGGCGACGGAGTAACTCGGGACTTTCCACATCACCATGAATAAGATTCCAAATGAGGATAAGTTAATTAAAATAAGTAAGGTGTTAGTATTAGGCTTGAATTCCAGTTATGTACAAATTATTATTATTATTGGCCAATCCGAAGTAAATGTACCCACCTCATTTAATCCACTACACCCATACCTTTCCTACAAACTAAAACAGATCCCTACTGATTTACGCGTACTCCAAAGTCAGCAAAAGACAAAAAAGGGCAATAGAAGCAGTAGATACCGAATAAAAATGGTTGACGGAATAACCGGACTCCGTTGTTACGATATCTTAGAAAATAGGATAAATAAGAAATTAAAAAACAATAGTAAACTGGTAGTATTTAACAGATTTATTTATACAAAAGTACAACAATTTACTAATGTTTCCAGTGCACTATTAAAAGTTACCTAGAACTAGCAGGAAATTATAAATCAGAAAATAAACATTTTTAGGTAAAAAAAGGCAATTTATAAACAAAGAATTAAAATAAATAAAAATAATATTATTAGCCTCCCAACCATAAAAACAGACAATTGCAGAACTTTAAAAACTAAAGCAATTAAAAAGCCCAAATAATCAATGGATGTTGTTAGAGACAAAATTTCACAATAAAAAGCCTTCCGATAAGACAATTTGTAATTCAGAAAAGCTACGCCGAAAACCGTTATAATGTATGCCAGTTCTTCAGCTGTCTTAAAAGAAAACAAGGAAGAACGCTATATTCGAGTACCTCGACTATCAGATACCCGTTACTCAGCTAAGTCAGGGACCAAAGGGATATGGAGATATGCAAGCAGCAAAGCGAGATTAAAAAGCGCCACCTACCGCCGGTAGACAGATTTACGCGTCATGGGCGTTAGAATGGGCGTGTCAAATTTTTTTTTGTGTCAATCGATAGGTATTGATTAGAACAATACATTTTAGTTAAAATTTTTATTCTAGCATCAAAACTGTTGGAGCCACTGTTTTGGGCGGTTTGTGGGCGTTAGAGTGGGCGTGGCACGCTGCTTGCGTGGCAAACTTGCGCTGCGTAAGAAGCTCAGGAGTCTGCACGCCAAATTTCAATAGCCTAGCTCTTATAGTTTCCGAGATCTCAGCGTTCATCAGGACAGACGGACGGACGGACATGGCTAGATCGACTCGGCTAGTGATCCTGATCAAGAATATATATACTTTATGGGATCGGAAACACTTCCTTCTGCCTGTTACATACTTTCCGACGAAGTATACCCTTTTACTCTACGAGTAACGGGTATAACAAGAGAAAATGCTAAAGTCGCCGGTCTCAACTATCAGATACCCGTTACTCAGCTAACTACTATCGTTAATTCCTTTCGGCTGTATACAAGGTATCACAAACACGCCACTTTACGTGAAAACTAGGTGGTACTAGTGAAATTTCGTAATCATCCGATTTTCTGTATCAATATATCTCCACCCCTCTCGCACTCGGAAATGGTTTCTTTTACTTGTTACATACTTTCCGACGAATCTAGTATACCGTTTTACAATACGAAAACAAACAAAAAATAACACAAATGTTAAGTAAATTCTAACAATTGGTTTCTAAGACAACTTTAAGATATATTCTTCTGATTTATTCCAAATTTTTAATATTGTTTTAACGTTCAGGGTATTCCCTAAGCTGTTGAATTGCTGAATTGTTGAATTTTGGTCAGCTGTTAATCAGCTGTTCCATACAAAGTCAACTTTCAGAAATTTCAGAAATTCAACAGCCTCTGGGCTGTTGAAAATTTTGTTGAATTGCTGTAAGTGTTGCTGTAAGTAAGTGGGTAACTCTAGTCACTCGTAAACCTGGAGGAATTACCATCGTATAAAATATGCATATAAAGGATATCTGATAGGATGCTGCCTGTTAGCAGTTCTAATAGATTAGTTTTTTGGTGTATTCTTGGCATTTTCCTTAATTTTAAACATAATCTTTGGTAAACACAGACTGACAACTTGACAATCTAACAAACAGCTGACATCTTAAAATTGAAAATTCAACAGGGAACTTATGGGTCGTTCCCTTAATTGCTGAAATTTTCTGTTGAATTTTCAACAATTCAGCAATTCGACAGCTTAAGGAATACCCTTATTGTTTAATTTCATATTAAAACGGTACTTTCAAAGTTTTATACAATTATCTTTAAAGGAAGCAATGTTGATCTGATCATTCTTATGGCAGCTGTATGGTATAGTTGACCAATCCGAAGGATTTTATATTTAAATGCGTTTTGACAAAAAATAACGATGGAGAAAGTTTTACTTTTATATCTTTAAAATTAAAATTAAAAATATAAATTAGTCAAGCCGTTGTAATTAATCTTGTCACTCTTTCCGAGATATCAGCGTTCATATGGACGATTTTTTGAAGTTTGTGGGCGGTTTGTGGGAGTCAGATTGGGCGTGGCTCACTGACGAAATAAACTTGCGTTGCGTAGGAATCTCTAGAGTCTGCATGCCTAATCCTAGTGTAGCAGCTTTTATAGTTTTCGAGATCACAGCGTTCATACGGACAGACGGGCAGACGGACAGATGGACAGCCGGACATGGCTAGATCGACTCGACTAGTGATCCTGATCAAGAATATATATACATTATAAAAAATAAATAAAAAATAAAAGGGTGTCATTGGGAGTCGAACCTGCGTCAAAACGATTTTTAACCAAACCCTTAAAGCGTCTGCGCTATGGATACAGCAACCCGTCCGCTGACATGTTTTGAAATCGAATATTACGGTACTACAGATCATGCAAAACAAGTAGTTCTGTTTTCCATAAAATATTTCTGTTTTTTAGAAAATATATACATTATTTAGGGTAAGAATCATTTTAGGGTTAGGGTTAAAAAAGTCAATGCAAAACAATTTTATTTTTGCGTTAGCTGTTCTATTTTTCAGCACAAAATGTATATTTATAAGGACATTTTTTCTTGTTTTTAGTGCGATTCTAGTTTATATTAACCATTTCCTTAAGTAACGCTTTCTTTATTTAAGGAAAAATTCATTAACTTTAGAATGAATTTTCTTGTATTTAGAAAAAAGAAACGTTAATGTCGTTTTACTAAAATTTATGGCATCGACTATTGAATACCCTTTACTCAGCTTAAGGCAGTGCGAAACCGATGGAGATATATGCTTAAGGCAACTCTGTTTTTTTCACGAACACGCCTATCCTATAGCGCCACCTATATTATTCTTCTTCTTTAGCGCCACTTGGACTACATCGCCAAATAGCCTATAGCGCCCCTAGCGGCTTGGTAGCGTGTTAGTGAAAGCAGCTTATTTGCTGCATGTGGTGTACAATCTCGATGGAATTGCAAAAAAAATTGATTTTTTTTTTTATAACTTTTTAATGAGGGGTCCGATTTCTATAATTTTTGGGCATGTAGGTATTGATAATAAAAACAGACTCTCGTTTAAATTTTTACGAACATGGACATGGCTAGATCGACTTGTCTAGTGATGCTGATCAAGAATATATGTACTTTATACTATCAGCTTTGATAGTTGAAATAGAAGACAATTTCTGTAAAACTGTCCGTCTATCCGTCCGCTTCTACTCAAACTAGTCTCTCAATTTTAAAGCTATCGGGTTGAAACTTTCCCAAAAGTCTTATTACTTTTGCAAGAAGTATTTAAGTCGGAACCAGCCGCATCGGACAACTATATCAAATAGCTCCCATAGGAATAATCGCAAAAAAAAATTATATCTTTGGTGTTCTTTATTTTCCTTATAACTTCCTACGCTTGGAAATAACATTTTTTAATTAGTTTTGAATTTCGAATTAATTTTTATTAAAATCGGACGACTATATTATATAGCTGCCATAGGAACGATCAGAAAATTGGTGGAAAAATAATATGAAACAAATCATAGCTTCGGTGTTATTCGACATATTATCTTATACTCTTGGGAATATCACTTTTTGTATTTTTAAGAGTTTCGAATTAAAATTAATAAAAATAAGACGACTCTAACATATAGCTGTCAAAGAAACGGTCAGAGAAATAATGAAATAATTATTATACCCTTGCATTTATTTTTATATTATTTGTAATTGATTCTATTTTTGCAAAGTCTTACAGAAATTGTCTTCTATTTCAACTAACAAAGCTAATAGTATAAAGTATAAATATTCTTGATCAGCATCACTAGACGAGTCGATCTAGCCATGCCCCGCTGTCCGTCCGTTCCCAAGTCTTATTTCTTTTAGAGGTAGTATATTAGTTAGAGCCAGCCGGATCGGACAACTATACCTTATAGCTACCATAGGAATAATCGAAAAAAAAAACTAAGAAACAATACAAAAAATTTCTATTTTTGGTGTTTTTTAACATATAACCACCTACGCATGGAAATAACATTTTTTAGTGAGTTCTGAATTTCGAATTTAATTTTATCAAAATCGGACTACTATATCATATAGCTGCCATAGGAACGATCGGAAAATTGGTGGGAAAATAATATGAAACAAATTATAGCTTCGGTGTTTTTTGACATATTATCTTATACTATTGGGAATATCATTTTTTGTATTTTTTAGGAATTTCGATTTAAATTTAATAAAAATCGGACGACTCTTACATATAGCTGTCAAAGAAACGGTCAGATAAATAATGAAATAATTGTTTTTAAAAAAAATTTGCTTTGTTGATTTTGATCGTATAATCGTATTACACTGGTCGGTATAAGTATTTTGACAAAACAAAAGTTAAATATACTCATAATTTGAACTTACTTCTTGTAAACTTTTGGAAAGGTAATTTAAATGCCGTTTGAATGATACAATACATTTCTAAACCCTTTCAGTATTTATTGAAAAGGACGAATTAAGATTTTACCTGTTCAAAGGGCTTCGACAATTCAGGATAACCGATGGAGGTCAACCACTCTGCTTCCATTTCCCCATCTATAATAAAGTTTAAAAGTAGATTATATATTTTTTTTTTCATACAAGCTTTTAAGTACAAACCTTCGTAGTTAATTTCGGGATCGTTACTTTGTGCGCTTGATTGCAGTAAATATTCCTTGAGAAACTCGGAGTACTCCTGATCGGATGAGTTATGCAAAAGTGTGTAGCTGTTCATTCTAGCTTTTTTTATAATGCACCTTTACAGAATGGCTTTACATATGGCACACTACTTTTTTTTGGCATCTGAATCGTCTTAATTAGTATTTTAAACTGGTATCCCCACTGCAATAGATCACGTTTTAAGAAGACATCAAAAGTTGATTGTATATTGGTATACCCTTGCAAAGGGTATAATGTTTCCGACCCAATAATGTATATATATTTTTGATCGGCATCACTATATGAGTCGATCTAGCCATGTCCATCTGTCCGCGTCTACGCAAACTAGTCTCTCAATTTTAAAGCTATAGCGGGATGAAAACTTTCCAAAAGACTTATTTCTATTGGAGGTGGTATAGAAGTCGGAACTAGCCGGATCGGTCTGCTAGCTCCCATAGAATTCTTTGTTGTATTCTTATTATATTATACTAGCAAGGCCCGCAGTTTCGCCTGTTGAAATTTCCTTTAATCCTATACTTTTAACTTGTTTTATCTTTGCTAGTTAAACTAAATTTAATACGTTCCTCAATTCCACACTACCATAGAGGTATAGATTAAGATAAGATAAGATTAAGATAAAATATATACATTCTTGTTAAGGATCACTAGCCGAGGTAATCTAGCGATGTCCGTCTGTCTGTTCGTCCGTATGAACGCTGAGATCTCGTAAATTATAAAATCTAGAATGTTGGAACTTGGGATGCGGAATCGTATGGTTCTGGGACAGCGCAAGTTTGCTTAAGCACGGCGCCACGCCCACTCTAACACTCCCATTCGCCAACATGCTACACTAAAATCTGTATAGCGCCCACATGTTTAAAGATTTTGTAAAAGTGGAAATGAAATTTTGTTTTGATTACCAATATCTATCTTCATGCCAAAAACTATTCAAATCGGACCAAATGTGTGTGCAATTGAAATATTTTTTAGCAATAGGATATCAGTGGGTATTATAAAAAATTTGTATTTAAATGAATCTCATTTCCCCCGTTAGCTAAAAACGCATATATACACAAACAGACGCACGCATATCTTGTTTTCAGTATTCTTATTTTCATTAGTTTTTCACCTGGATTAGATTTATTCTCGCCATTTCTTTGTTCAACTAAACGCTTTTTAAGAACGCCTTTTTAATAGTACATGTGATATTTTTTCAGTATGTGTTCACACTTAACGGCTTGGATATTTCCATTTGACAGAGAGCGAGACAGCATGATGTGGAGGCTATGGCATAACTTGGAGTTGGTTTAGAAGGGTTAATATCCAAAAAAAAAATTATACATTGTTTTTTTTCGGGTATGCCTTAAGATTATGAACAGCGCATTTTAAAACAAGAGAAAACGCTATAAACGTTACTCAGCTAACAAAAAAAGCGTCACCTATAGTTCATTCGTAGCGGTTGCATATGAGATTCACTAACACGCTACATAACGTGAAACCTCCATCCCTCTCGCACTCTATTGAGCTTGCTAATTGTTAATTATTGTTTGGATATAACTTTTTGCTTGCAGATGGGTATTGATATTAAAAACAAAGTCTGTCTTATTTAAGTTTTTACAAAATTTTAAAATATGTTGGCGGTAGACGGGTTTTAGCGTTATGGCCGGTTGTGGGCGTCAGAGAGAGCGTGTCACCCAGCTAAAAAAAAAACGTGCGCTGCGCTGAAAGCCCAAGAATCTACATGCCAAGTCCCAAAATTCTACCTCCTATACCTTCCGAGGTCTTTGCGTTCATACGTCCAGACGGATATGGATAGATCAATTCGGCTGGTGATCCTGATCAAGAATATATATACGCTTCCTTCTACTTGTTATTTACTTTCCCTTAAATCTAGTTTACCATTTTACTCTACGAGTAACGGGTATAACCACATTGAGAAATGTATTTTTTAAAGCCTATTATTTTAATTGGTCCTCATATAAATATAGATTATACTAATAACTATTTTATTATTAATTTGTAATTATTATAAATAATATAGGCAAAAGGCCGCAAAGCAAAGTGCAGTCCCTTGACAAGCAATTGCGATGAATGAATGATGATTGGAATGATGAATGAGCCAGACTTCAAAATATTCATTTTGGATGTGTCAAACTGCCAGCCCACCGATAATTTCCACTGAAGCACACTTCGGAAAATCTTTGCGAATTTTAGGGAGCAATCGTCATGGAACGGAATAGCTGGTGGCGATAGCTTCAGGTAAAGCAGCAAACATTATTAGGGCAATTGAATACATATTGGATGCTTTGCTTATACACTAAATTTAATTGTTCAGAAGGCTCTCGACGATATTGGCATTTTGCGGAAAAAAGCAAAAGCAATCGACCAGAATATAAGCCGAAGCTCAGCTGGCCTAAAGAAATTACAAGAGATGCAGGTCTTCATCCAATTGCCATAGCTTAAAATTACTTTCAAAGTGTTCGAGCATCTGTTACTTTTAAAAGACGCAGTAATGGCCACGCTATCGGCTCTAAGGACAGATTTTCTACTATCTTCAGAGTATTGTAACGTTATTGAGGGAGTGCTCTAACTACTAAAGCCATTTTTTCAAGTTACTACGGAAATATCTGCAGAGACGAACGTGACGCTGTCGAAGGTTATTGTGCTATCTGGAATTTTGAATGACAAGATTGCAAGCATGATGACATTGGCTAAGAAAATATTTTGAAATTCAATTATGCGTACATTTAGAAACATGATGAATTTCATGATTATGATCAACAATTTTGTACGCGGAAAGCACTATTTTGGATCCCAGATTCAAAGGACGAGTGCTTAAATCAGAAGACGCGTACAAAACGGCTTTAGATGATTTAAAAAAAATATGTGTGCCAATGCGTTTGGCCGCTGCTTAGCCTGAATCTGCCGTAGCCAAACGCAATGATGCTGACATTTGGAATGATTTTGACAATACTTTCCAAAAAGTCAAAAAGCCTACCAACAGCACTGACGCAACCATTAGGGAACTGGAAAAATGTTGAGCTGAGGAATGCATAAAGCGTGGAGTTAATCCATTGGTCTGGTGAAATATGCGTAAATTGCAATATACTCTCCTATACTCGTATATGCTAAGTCGGTTTTGCATAGTCGCCACATCTGTGCCACGTGAGCGCATACTTTCAAATGCTAGAAAAAAAAAGTTCTGAAGAGGCGCACACTTCTAAAACCTTCAAATGTGGAAAGCCTTATGTTTTTGCACACAAATTTCTAAATTCAATTAGTGTGGAATATTATATTTCTAAAAACGGTTTTAATTGTTCTTTCTATTATGGAACAGCAAGTGTAACGGCAGATATTGTAAAGGTCCTCATTGGGCCGCGATTTCTGGGGAATCGCATGAAAAGTTTATATGTTGGTAATCCATGGTCAAGTAAACTCTTAAGAAATCGCTGTCCATAAAGGATTTTTATTCGAGTGTGTGGGGATTTCTATGAAAACACAATATATCAGTTTTCTCGAATGTTTAATAATGTTCACTATTTTGACAACGAATAAAAAGCTAATATGTTTTATATAACAAGACGTACAAAATCCATATCTTTATAGCAAACCCTGCAACTTAAAAATTCGATGGCAAGAGAACCACGGCCTACCGGAAAAAAATATTTTCACGTACATTTTTAAGTAATCGCATCGTACATTTTTAAGTAATCGCGGTGCATCGAGGATATTTTTTTAGTGGATTTTGGGGAAAAGGCCGGTTGTCTAGACAGTTACCTTTTAGTGAGGTCTCTTTCAATGCGTATTGTCAGCAAACCGGCTCTCGGTATGCAAGCCTTTAAGATTTTGCGATACCTATCGATCAGTGTATCACTCGCTAGGATCGGACCATCAAATTTCATATTCCTAAGCTACCCAACAAATACAAGAATGAAAATGAACCGGCAAATTACAATAAAGATTGGCCAATGGCGATGGTGACATCGACGGTACGAAGAGCAGCAACTAATGACAACGAAGAAGGTCAGCGGAATCGACAGCATTGGCAGAGAGCGATGGAGCGACGCCTAGCTATAAACAATAAATGTAAAACTTAAATAAAGTTATTTCTTTCTTCTAATTTGTATTAAATAAAAATTCTAATCAGTTTTTTACCTGGCGCCCGAAAAGGGACCTCATGAATCCCGCGAAAGGATACAGGTTTCGCGTCCCGTAGTGTTCGAAAAATAAAATTTCGGCACTCGCTAAAATTGATGAAGTGACCTGGGTTCGGGAAGTTCGACTCCATAAAGTATATATATTCGTCACTAGCCATCCCCGTCTGTCCGTCCGTTTCTACGCATATAGTCTCTCAGTCTTAAAAGAATACTCTATTACTAAATAATCAACAAATAGCATCCTCCGGCCAACAACTTATTGGCATACTTTGGTATTTTTCATCACTCAGAAGTTTAAATAAAGGCGAAATAATACTATTACTCCACCGGGGACTATAATAAATTATTAGCACTATAAAAAAATATATTAAACTTGATCCCAATTATACCAACTTACAATATACATAAACCAAAAAGGTTAAATACCATAGTATTTTTTCTCCACGGGTGATATAAGAACTTCTTACTCACCGTTCCTAATCGGAATCATTGGGTACGTGCTCTAATTTCTATTTCTCCGATCCACTACTTTTTTTTGTCGACACCTCGTCGGTTTTCTATTTAATCGACATGAACAAAGGCGAGCAGATTCTGACCCAAAAAAGGTCTTTTTTTTTTAAATGTCCGTTGGAAGTGATAACAAGTTGTCTATTCCACCTGCCGTAGTCCCAGGCATATCCGTAGATCCGCCCACACCCGAACTAACCGCCAAGACCTCGTCGCCGCGAAAAAGGGTCACCCGTGCAAACGTCAAAATGGCACTAACACCTTCCCAAATCGCTCTAAGCAAATTTACTGAGGTCTCAGATCGGCTGAGTGAGTTTGAATCCAGGCAAACACTCCTTCGCCGATCCCTCCTACTCTGTCCATGCTGAACATCCGCCGCGAAGAAATACGCGCGTTATGGGACCGCATCAAGGCAGAATACGATGAATGCACCGGGTGCATAGCAGAAGCCGGAGACAGTGCAGCTGATAGTTTGCCAGTTCTCAAGGCTAAATACGGCTACTGCTATTCCGTTTACGA